AAGATATCATAAAAAGAAAAGCGTCCTTCAAGGAGTGTCAAGTCTTTTGAAGGGAAGAAACTGTACGTGTTTAGTTCCTTTATCAAGATGATCAGGGTTTTCCTGGTTATTTCTCCACAATGGACTGTAATGATGGGGAAAAACTATCGTTGTAATCTTAGATGATATTGCTGGTGGGTACAGTACTTAACTGCATGCATTATGATCCCTAACTTCGTCTTAAAGGTTACTTGAATTTTCCATCCAGGAGTGCTTTTCGTGCTTCTTTGGACAGCATCAAAGCAAATCTTTGTCTAGGGCACTTTCTTCGTAATCGGAATATAATAACACCTCGACTGAAGTCAGTCTTATCTGTCCATGTTGTATTTAATGGGTTTCATTTATTTGAAGCAGAGCCAGGTTGTACTCATGTTGGTAGTTATTTGAAGGACCTACAGTCTTCTGCGTTGCCTGAACATTCCACGTATCTATAGCAGTTGTTGCTTCGGTTATCAGAATGCTCATCAGTCTTGTGGTTCCCGAAGAATTTAGGCTTTCATTATGACATGTCATAAATTTCCTGTGTGAGAAAACCCTTTTCTTCACAGGGCAGAGTTTAAAGCGTTTAGATGATTTCTTCTTGTTGCATTTTTTGACGAGGTATTATTGATAACACTATGTCCGCGATTTTTCGTTTAACCGAGCTCGTTACTGATAGTAGCCCTAGATGTCTCCAGGCAAATATTCCATTTTATCAGATGCTGACAAATTCTCTGAAGGAGCCTCTTTAAAGATTACTCTGTCATCAACTCCGAACTCTACGAGAATCCTTCCAGATTTTTTTGAGAATGTCCTTTTGCTTCCTATGAATAACATTTCCTACCAATTATTGTTTCCTGAGGGGCTAGCAGAAATTTTTCCACCCTTCAGAACTATGATATCATTGTATGCAACACTATGGATTCATCCAAGATTTTCACTCTCTACATGTTTATTTTGCGGAGACCATATGTTTTTGTATGACTATATCAAGAGAAACAACCTTGATATTTGCTTCCCGTGATACTAGCAAGGAAATCTACTTCTGAAATGTACTCTCTGCGTACAATATAGATTCAATAATGGTTTCTGTAGGCGAACTGATGGAGTTGTGATGAAGTCATCACTGGACTCCTCTTGACTTGTTCTTCTGTAGGCAATCTGAAAATTTAAATACATACTTGTCAGTTATGTTGTGTTAAAGTTTCTTGCTTATAAAGAATAACAATAATCCAGACATAAAGTAAAGAAGAGATCCGTGTATGTCTGTAAGTCCAATGAAAAATGATTATTTAATCAACTTATAGTATTGCTAGTAAAAGTGCTCTAATAGTTTTATGCATTGTTTCTTCAGAATAAGTTATGTTTTAAGATTTGATTCAACACCTTTGCATAGAATTTATGTTCTCACTGTCCGTTACCCTATTATACAACTTTTTACCCACTTCTCTTCAAAGTTTAATAAGAATTATAAATAGATTCTTTGTTATATCCCAATGAGTAGAAAAATTGTACTTCTGATGTTTTATAACTTAATCTAAGCTACTTCAGAGTAAATAAATAGCCGACATTAAATTAAAACAAGCTTTAAATTCGTGTTAATTGATTCTGACGAAATGTCTTACATTAAGTCAAGTAACGTCAAAAATACAATTTTTCTACTCATTGGGATATAACAAAGAATATATTTATTATAAACTCACTAGCCAATTTTTAATTTATTTGAAACTATTACACCCAATCTTAGGATCATTTTATCAATACTTGATCGTTGAAATCTTTTCCACATCAATACCTCATCACCCCTTAATAATAATGCATTATATTTAAGTAACTGGTATAAATTGTGGATTAATACAATTGCTTACTTTCTGTATAATTCCACCATTAGGCGACATATATATTTTACACGTTCCATTTGATACTTTAAGTATTTTGTTATGTTTGTATTTGTTAGTTGAATTGTCTAAATACAAGTATAACATTAAAGAGACGACCCTTTTTATTTATTTATTTATTGCCATCGAATATGAAATAACTTTTATGTTAATTAAAAAAATGTTTCGTATTTCTTTCTATTGGATATGTCTTCCAGGGTTAATTTATCTAGTTTAGTTCATATAAAGTTAATACATTTTGTCAATGGTTTATCAAAAAAATATTTGTTCACTTGTCTGCTAACCGGTGTTACGGATAATTCGAAGAAAGTTAGGGGCGGCCAAAACAAAACATGGCATCATTGCTTGAAGTCACTAACTTCTGGTCTGAGCCATGTTGGTAGATGCAGACTACCTGGTTAGGGTCCGCGTGACTATCGTAACCAATGGTTGGGAGACTCTTGGTGACATGGCTCAGAATCGACCACAATGGCGTCGGTGTATTCACTCTCTGTCTTCCTTTAAACTAAGAGATTAAAATCACTTTATATCTTTCTTTCTAGGAACTAATTCTTTCTTCCTGTACTATCTCCATATACACAATCTTTCTTCTATATATTACCACCACTGAATTAACTACTTTTATGAATCCGGTGTTCATCTTGTTGTGCTAATGCGGTATGGCAACTTGGACTGATGGATATACGTGCCTGGTCCTACGTTGCAGTGACTGATTGACTTTCCTGTAAAAAAAAAGAAAGATGTTCGTTTTTTTTCCGAAACCTAGAACTTTTTGTTTGTAATTTAAATTGGATAGAATAATTTCAAAACTAAGAATTTTATTTATTCTTGTGTCATTTGACAAAGGTTAAAATTAAACATGTTTATTTGTGTTCAAGTTAGGTATGATAAAAAGTTGAAAGCATTTATTTTTAATAATACTAATAATAATATTAATTTGTTTTAGTAATGTCATATGAAACTATTAGGTACTCTTTCTGTTCAGATCTATATATTTCAAACGAAGAACCGGTTTATTATGATGTTTAAGTATAAATAAACCTTTTAATCTGTGTTGCTTTACAGTATGTTAATTTGAAAACTGATAAATGTCTGCGAAGAATTAGTTGATAATATTGTAGTCTCCTTTGATCGTAAACTGGCAATATCAAATTTCTTTGTCATTTGCCTCTGTTAAATAAATGATTATAAGACTATGTTCGACAAAGATTGAATTCACTTGCGCCATTGCGAACGAATTCAGCCATCTCACTCAAAGTTTCCAACTATTAGTTACGATAATCACATGAAAGCGTACTATGTAGTTTGCACCTAACTACGCTATTCATTCCAACAGTCAGTGTCTTTATGAATTGAACCTATAACCTGGTTTGACTACCCCTAGCAATCCTACGATCTATTCCTACAACACACTGAAAATGTCCATGCGTAATACATGTTCTAACCATCTCGGTCGTTAAAGATTCACTTCCTCATCAATCAATTAGCTTTCCTAAATACTTCCTCAGAGTAATTAAACTAGGTAACTAATGAAGTAAACAGTCTCTATTAGCTGACTGTTTTGTACTCAGTCCATTGAATGCTTCAAAAGTAGAATATTCATGTCCGTCCATCATTAAATTGTTTCTGGTCGACTAGTCTGTTACTGGAAACAAAACCTAATTTATTAGAAAAAACGTACTCAGAATTCTCTTACACTTATTTCAGTTATAAGTAGCTAGTCGGTAATTATTACACGTAATTTTCTAGAAAACGAAAGTGAGTGTAATTTATCAACATTTGTCATCCTTGGATGTCACAAGAAAATTTCAACTTAGAGTAAATTTTTATTTCAATGAATTCTTGACATGTTGATTTCGCATACTTATCTTACGTTTAAACACTAGGTCATTTACATGCACTCAGTGTATGCAGTCATGTGCGTAAGATTCACTAAATTATAAACTCAATTTGTTCAAGATATACCTTTATTTTAACATGTGATTTTTATTACTATTTTCGTGCACCTAATAATGAAAGCTACGATACGTAATTAACAATGTTTTAAGCTAACGATTATTTTTATTGCATCTGTAAAATATTGATGACAAGATGACCGCCCAGACTTTATTCTAAGCCATACATATTTCTTCATTCCAAGATTGAACTCCCGATAGTAAGTTGCACGGAGGAAATTTACTTAAATAATCTTTAGTTGGATGTGGATGAATAGTCAGTAAGTAATCTTGTTCGGACTCCTGTCTCTTAAGTTCGAGACCTATAGATATCAGGCATCAAGTAATGTTTTTTTATTTAGCAGAAGAAACAAATGCTTGATATTTCCCCATATCTACTCACGGAATTCTAAAATCCAAATTTTCCCATCGCGTCCACTAAATATCTTGCTATGCGTGAAATCGGTGCTTCTTAGGATTAAAGGTTTTTTTAATATAACTGACTGTCACTGTTTACTGAGCTGTAACACCGAGTTTCCGACCTGTATCATTCAACCTTACAAGTCATCAAGCTGCGTATTAAATTACCTGGTACAAATATTATTTCTGAGTATTTGGCTTTTGATTGAGATTGGCCGTAGAGTGAATCTATGACATAATGGAATGCTGAGAATTCATGGAGCAAGCGGTGTCGTGTTTTTTTAAAGTCTACCTCCACTCCCTCTACAAGCTGAAGCATTGAAATCATTTTTTTCATTGTCAACCAAAAATGTACTTTAGAATTTTCATGGGGACATTTTCTTCAAAACATATATAACGTTTTATACTTTCATAATGTCGTTACAGTGGACGATCAGAAGTATGAGTCTTGCTCTATAGACGATGCAACTCTACTACTGTTTTCATGCGAAAAAGCAGACGCGCACTGGTATAAATATCGGAGCGATTTACGTATAAATTTTCATTAGCAACTGCAAATATAAGATGTAGCTTACTTCTCGTTATCCGATATTGTTAGATGAAAATTTTGTGTGATAGATAAAAGACACGAATAATACAGTACTATTGTCCAAGCTTGACCGATCTGTATGATTTGGTAATTTTCTCCCAAAGCTCAAGCTTTTAATTATCACTGAAATTTCGTTTTCAGCTGTCATTTCGACCAACTGTTGAAGAGCTGCGTCGGCGTAAGATTATTCGTTTTAATGATTATGTTGAAGTTAGCGAAGCAGATGCCTATGATCGTCGAGCTGATAAACCATGGACTCGTCTAACTCTACGTGATAAAGTAAGTTTCTACAATTTTTATCTGGAGAAAGCTAACCATTAGTATTTTCTAAAGACAGCAGCATAATCATATGTTTTCATGGTGCAAATGGTAAGCAATCTCGTCGAACCAACGAATTACATTACAGTGAACGTTTTTTCGCATCACGAAACGTTTACTTTCAGTACAAAACTGTTAATCCACTTATTATTTATTTGAATCAAGGGTGAATTAGTAATTTGGTTTTACTAATACATAAAGCAGCAGCTAACCGAACTCCTAGCAACAACACAATATCCCTTATTTTCTAAACAATTTACATTAACACTTTTAGATTGAGATTACATAGGTTACTAATCCCTTGTTACTGAAAGGTTTCAGAACTTATTTACACATTATAACAAGATTTAGAGAATAAAATTTTGTAAAAGAATATTTTCGTGCTATTTTGTGGTAATTATAGAAAATTATGAAATCTCAGATGGTGGTTAGTGAAGTGAAGGAAACCTATCATGCCGACATGTGAGAAAACATAGACTGTCAACATATATTCACTCAGGCTAAAACTCACTTCGTTCTATGCTTTGTTCGTCAGTTATAACTCAAAGACATACTTGCAGTTTAACCTTATATATACATTTCTGATACTGCAAACTATTAAATAGTGTTCTTCACAATTATACGTACCTAGTAGCAACGATTAACATTTCGCTTTATCAATCTTAACACTGACGACATTCTTATATCGAAGTGGGAGACAATCAAACCTATCGAAAAACTTTGCAAGATGTAGAGACTAGAATGTACATCTTGGTGGATGTCCTTTTTCTCAAATAACAAAATATACATATTAGAAATCAGTTCATAACCGTAAATGTAAAATTGATATAATATAACCGTGTAAACATTATTTCTAGGCTGATATTAGAAAAGAATTAAACGAATTCAAAGCAACTGAAATGGATGTTCACGCTGAGAGTCGACATCACACTCGGTGAGTATTAATTTGCTAGCAGATTTCATCCTATTTTGTAATATATTTCCATCAATTTTAGCTATCATTGCACTAACATAGATCCAATGATTTGGTGTTCCCAAACGCATAAATAATAGTAGCCTCCGTTCATTCATAACAGCCAAGATTGTACGTAAGGTATACACGCAACTGTATAATCTGATAAACACAAAACTTATATTTCATTATTCGTACTCTTGTTTTTAAGATGAGTAACTACAATAGAGATGAGCATGAATTCACGCAAAGATTAGTTATTTTCAAAACCATAATGCAGACATAAATGCCTTTAATTAAAATTGTGTAAACACGACTACCAGAATAGTTTCACACCTTGATTGAAGTGATATGCAGTCCACTTGAGAATCTTTTTTCAAAGCAAAAAGGATATCTTCTGATCGTGGATGATTTACGATCCGATGAGCTACTTATTTTAACTTGTGTGACTTTGTCTTCTAAACTTAATTCGAACTCCCCCAAGATGCCGTAAATCTTTTCACCAATAGTTCACCATGACATACGGAGGTTTATACTTAACACAGAATGTATATAAACGGCCAGTAATATTAAAAACTAACATGTGTTGTACATCACGATAACTACCGTAGTTTATCTATTATGTAAACAATTCTCATATGTATTTCTACAGATATCACAAACCTTAGATGCCTATCTGCTGCATCCTGCAAAATAATTCAGCGACTACCGTTCACTTCGTAATAGCAACTGTACGTTTATAGTTATTTTTTGAAGCTAAATCTAGATTATTTCTAAGAATAACCCGACCCATTTGAAGACCAAACAATTGTACATAGTTTAATGACCTGTCAAAAATGAAATTTTATATTGACTTTCCAAATTTTATGGCTCACTTTATTATTGTTGTATAGTTTAACTCTTTCATTTTATTGTGATTATAATAATTGGTTACAAATACAAAAACTACCTTGACCAATTTTAGATCTTTTACATGAAACCTTGTGTAGCATCTGACAAAGACAGTTAAGGAAAGTCAGACTATCTATCAAAAAGGACAAATAATTAGCAACATCCTTGTGGCCAGATGAAAGGAAATCTATAACTTAGTGATTCTAGACTCAGACGGTTAAACCTTTTAGGAGAAACCAATTTGTCCAAAATCGGCGTATGAAAGAATTAGTATCACTCATCAAATCAATCAAGGAGAATACAGAAAAAATTTTCGTCACAGCCTTCCTGTTGAATTTAAGTAATAATCAAGTTTATTTTCATTGCAAAGGTAGCTAGCAGTTGACAAAAAATGAATGAATATTTATGCGCTAAAATTATGGATGTTGCACTTTTCAAACAGTTATATGCAATTTAAAATATATAAACTGATTTTATAATTTCATCTCCGAGACCAGGTGAAATGACAGTTTCTTCTCGTACAGATGTACGACTTATGCAGGTTTATGTACATTAAAACGTGGAAGCATCTGACCGAAAGGTGAATATTGCTTTTCAAATAATAATATTTCAGAAGCGTATAATGCACCGCTCGACTCACGAAACATTTTTGGATGGCAAAAGTTAATGCCTAGCGAATACTTTTGCTCCTATTACAATTATTTGAAGATTTGTACATTTCGACTAAATTTTAAATGACAACATGTTTTTCGCTAATTATTTATCACATAGCTCAGTGGTGATTAATCCGATGTTGAATATTCTATAATCGGACACATCTTTTGTCTTATACCAGCCAATAAACAAACAAGAATGAAAACCCAACAGCATAATTTATTTGCAAAATTTCTAACCACACAAACAATGCTGAATCAAGAAAAGCAATTTCGCAATAAAGTGAGTCACTCAAAAGTCTGAATGGTTATAAGAGCTGAAAAACATTAACAACTAGCAAATACGGCGATTTTATAAGACAAATTATCACAATTTCATGAAAAGAAAATAATGACAAACGTTCATAACGAACGGTGTCTTATAAAAATTTCAGGTTTAAAAAACGGGTTTATTCAACAGAAATTGTCAATTTATCTAGAGCGTATATAATCATACAGGTAGGCTGTGTATTTATCAACTTCATACGGTACTCCCAGAAGGATCCTTACATGCATTCTTTTCTATGAAATGAGGCCCATATAACAGAATGTATGCACAATGCCAATCACCCCCTCCAGATAAGCGCAAAATATCTTCTGAGGTCACTTGGCTGACACGATCATCATCAAATTTAAACCACATTCCTACATAGTGATTGAAATGAATAAATAGTGGAGCATGAATTTTAGGAGCAAAATGGTGGTTGTCTTTTATTTGCAGTTTAATGTGAATTTGCTTGACAAACAGTTGCTTAGTAACATCAAACTATTTTTTTCTACAATCAATCATGTAGGGTGTATAAAGATGTTAAAAGTGTCATTAAAACGAAAATCCAACATTCTGCTAAGGGGAATATTTAGAATATGCTTGCGCCTAATAATAATTGTTTAATAATCTGTTCTCTTTGAGCTTAAAGAGACAATGAATTGTGTGATGTCATTCATTAAAATGGTATCGGAACTAGGTTTAAGATATGCTTAATGATTACCGAAGCTTTTACTGAGGAGTTTGAATGTTTTGCCGAAAAACTGCAATCTTTGTCTAAAATAAATGTCTAGCTAGCCTAGAATGACAAGGAGTAGTACAGATACAAGAAGGGTGCATGAGATCTAAAATGTTAGGTACGACGTCCTAGATTCCAGTTTACGCTTACACTAATTGGGGGGATGTAATTAAACGAAAATCATAGAAGACTATTGTTTGTAACAACCTTGACAGTAGTTTGAATATTAGTGGCCACTTTGCTGTTTGGGTGTCCTGTGGGCAATATTTTCTGCTCATCTAAATTCATTTTTCATTTAGTCTACCTGTCTTTATGAAAAGATTTTAAAACATGAAATACTTATTACACGTTTATACCGCGAAAAGCATACCTTGTTTTTTCACCCAAGCAACATAATGCCCACTGGTACTTGTCCTACCTTGGTGGCTCAAAATACCTTGAAGATCGTAGTACCCAGAGTTATTCGAACCGGGATCATCAGCGAAAAAGTTAGGTTCGTACAAGTCAGGATTTTGGAATGGATCAGGTCGTACAGGATCTGGAAGAAATGTGTCAATGAATTAGTTTACATGAATTTGGACATAATATCCCTAAATATTTGAAATGATCACAGGTGGAACATTTGGCTAAACCCACTTTTAATTGGCTTATGACATTCGTAATGTTTATCTGGCAATTGCAATCATCAAAAATAGTTCTGATCTACACTTGTAAAACTGGGACCCTTGATGAACTGAATGTCCGGTCGCTGTTTAGTTGTCTCCACCCTATAGATAAACCATGTTGTTAATTACGAGGTTCAGAAATATATCTCACCATATTTCAATATTGGTCGTCATCTTGAAATACTGAGTTCGGTGACTCGGATATGTTTTAAGAACATCACTTTATTATTATTTACCGATCACACTCGGAGTATTGCTTCTGAAAAGTATTGAATTTAGTCAACATATCATTGTTGAAAATTTCACCGTTTTGTTTTACTTTTCATGTAGACATACGTTCACTAGAACACGTTCAATGTAGTCGCAACAGTTATTATACTTACCCTAAAAATAACTAAATGATGGCTTTGTCTGTCGGATATAGTATTTGCTCTTTGAACGATAACAGTTGCTACTTTTTTGAACGTCGAAGGCTTTAAAAAAACTTACCTGCTTGTCTATAAATAATAAAACCCAAAAATAACGTAACGTTAAAACAACTTCTAAAATTACGTTACATAACCACTTGTCAGTAATACAAACCTGGTTCACTTTTGAAAGTATTTGTTTGACTTGAGGGATTAGCCACCTCATCTTCTTTAAGGCGCTGCTTTTCACGCATGGGTAGTAATTTCTGTTGCAACTCAGGCGTACAAAATTCGTGCATATCCAATGTTAGTGGAAATTTTACATCCTTTAAAATCTATAAAATAATACGCATTATAGTATCACGAAATTTTTAAAAGCTTTAGGACCTTCAGAACAAAGATTGATCATTTGGAACTACGAGATACATCTTTTAGTAAAAATGTACCAACGACGCTCCTCAGACCTTTTACTTCGCATCACAAGGAATTTCATGTGTAAATTTTATACGAAAACTGTCTTTTGAGATCGACAACTTTTATTGTAAGGAATGTAGTCAGTTTAAATTGAGGAACCATAAAGCTGAAATATACGTAACACACACAATCAGAATTTGCAGCTAATACAACGGGATAATTTAGAGAGGATCTCAGAGTATTTGCTACGAACATGACTGCTAGTTATCTTCAAACAGGAACGTTTCATGCTGGCAACAGTAATTATTCGTTTTCTTTTAAGGTTGTAATTTATACATAAACTGGACATTTATAGCCATTATTACAATACATTTACCAACGTACCTTGGCATTAATCTGTTTATCTTCCTTGTAAAAGAAACGAACAAAATGAATGCATAAGTAAGCTGGAAGCCGACTAATAAGAGATACACGTTTATATACTGCATTTCGATTCAGCAAAGATGAATGCTTAGTTAGATTTCCCGTCAATCCATTTCGAATACCAGTGAGCAAATATTTTACATCTGCAGTAATTAACAAATAATATCGTATAAATCAAAGCAATTTATTTAGATGGGAATCAAATAGATTTGGCGTTAAGAATCATTCATACATTGGAAAATTAGTAGTAGCTTCAATATCATCACTTAACCACTTCAATACACACATAGCAGTTTTAGCAATCGCGAAATAGCACCTGATACCTCTCTTAAACGTATCTAGTACCATGCGAAATTCCAGACAGTTAACAACTACCTTTATGTTCACAAGCGGACAAATGAGTACCAGTTCAAAAAACAATTTCACTGGAAATGTTTGGAATAAATATAAGCTTAAGCTTGGTGAGTTACTCATTACGTCTATTTAACAAATAATATATGCAATGAATCTTACCCAGCATAATCCCATTAATTTAGCTTCGTTAAACGTAATTAGTAAGATGAGCTAGTTACTAAACAGCATTATCTTAGACAATGAAACTAGCAAGTTTTGATTTAGGTTTAAACAGGTCGAAAAGCGTTAAATTGCCAGCGTTGACTACTGGTGTGGTTGCTTTTGATGGAGAACGTGGAACATTCTCTTCAGTATTCACTAATATTATTCTTTTATCAGTGATAGTTTTGGTACTCAATTATACCAGAATTTATACGAGACATAAATATAACGTACGGTAACATAGTTAACTTTTAAGTTAGAAAACTGAACGTTCTGGTTTTAAGCGTGCTGCCAGACAATAAGTATTGTATAAAATAAATATTTTATGAACTGAAAAGATTCAATTTAATGAAGTTAATTAAAATCTTACCTTGGTGCATGAAGCAAGAAAGTTGAGTAAATGTTTCTATACTATCTGTTTCGGGTTCATCTGATTCAGTACATTTAAGTTTGCAAGATAACTGACCAGTGAGAAATCTATCTACAGGATTCCATTGAGATGTTGTACGAAAACTTTGAGGCAAACTCTAAATTTCAAACGTAGAAAGAGGTGTGAATATTTTATGAACCTGAGGTTATCATAGAATATTATTTATAGTTGTATAGGGCACAATTTG